TGTCTAATTATTGCACTAAAATAATCATCCAGTATTCTAGCATAATATATTTATTCAAAATTTTTTTTAGCCTTGAATTTTCATTTTAGGCGACTTAGTTAGTAAATATACGGCACAGTTCATGTACATATTACAGTGTAATTTACGAACAAAAAATTGGTCCTTTAAAAGTGTTTGGTACACTTGAATAAAGCATGAAATACCTTTGTTCTCAATATGATCCCTTGATGAAACAAAACGCTTAGTGTACAAAAAGCTAAAAAATTACACGGTCGTGTAAACAGATAATAGGAACATATTTTGTGTTTGTCGAACGGCCTAGCAACTAGGTACTGTTTATTTATGATTCACAGCTTCGATTATTATATGTATATTATGAACAAAGAAAATATATACATGTACTTATTAAGTTTTATGCTGAAATCGCAATAACAGCAGCCATTAAAAAGAAATAGAATCATTACAGTTTTAAATCCCTGCAAAACATCAAGTGTTATACATTTCTAACATAATTTAATCATGTATTTTAAATATATTATGATTTTTTCGTACATGTTATTTTACTTTATAGTAGCTAATGCAACTCTTACTCCTAAAGTAATTGGAACTTTTTCTATCTAAATATATGATCCATTGAAAAAAATAGTTCTCTAAGACCTAGAAAATGATATACTAGTATAATAATTGGAGACATTATTTCTATAATAGTAGTATAATTCACATAGTGTATTCAAAATAAAAATGTAATGTTTTTAGCAACTCGCCGACTTTTATGAAAAGGTAACAAAAAAAGATATAGATAACAAGCAAAGAAAAGCTGATTTTTATAATAAGCCATGTTTACGAGGAGACTTTACCTTAACTACAGTACGAAAATACCTTAAAGAAGACGAGCCAAACCTACTTGCGGAAGATGTCCATAGGATAATACTACATACGCGGGGTACGTTTAATAGTAATAATTCAGTAATGGTATTGTAAAATATATAATATATGAAATGTGATTTGTGAATAACCAATAATCACATTAATGTTATTATCGGTAGTGTGTTTTTTTTATAAAATTTCTGAGGAGTACTTATATTATCGCGCTGAAGTTTGTAAAGATAATTTTAAATGATAGACCAATAATTGTAAGTAATATTGAAACATTAATTTTACGACATTCCTCTTGGAATTTTTTATAAATTATTTAAAAATTAAACAAGCGGACCAACAAAATTGTGGTTTTAGATAGCTTTTGGCAATACCCGTTATGGCCAAATATTGTGCATAAAAATGCGATTATAAAAATTGTAATCAATCAATTTCGTTACAACACAAAATAGTTCGGTAAATTATAATGCAAATACCTTTATAATAATTTCTAGGTTATCATATATCATTAAAGACATTTCAATCAGCAATGATTATGAAATTTACTGATGGGGTAATTTGAATTTTTTTCTATCTAAATACATGATTCATTAGAGAAACAAAAATACTCTATAAACCTATTGAATAATAGTTGCATTCTTTCTATATTAGGAGTATTCATATTGTGTTTTAAAAAAAAAATTTTATGATTTAAGCAACTCAACACAATTTATGATGTGGTTAAAAGGAATACAAAAATTGTGGAAAAAACACTGTGTGGCATGAAGGAAACAAAAGTAGTAAACAAGGATGGAGTGAAAAATTACTTCAAAGAGGAACTCCACAATTATAGTCTAAAAACATGGGAAGTCGAAGAGATAATTGCAAACTTGCGTGGTACGTTAAATTATAATAATTCAGTAATAGATGTTGTAAAGTATATAATATGTAAAATTTGAAAAACTAAAAATCACTTTGATGATGTTATAGCCAAGTATTTTACATAAAAACATAATCATAAAAATAATATTATAACCAGACCATTCGTAACAGGTTAATATAGTTTGGTAATTTATAACGTGAATTCTTTTATAATGATTTCTAGATAAACATATGACAAGAGAGGAATTTAAAAAATTAATGAATTTTGAAGACGACGGGTATGTGGAAATAAGGATTGAATAATGTTTAAATAATGTGGACGCTACAGAACCAGCCAGTGGCGAGTTTAAAACTTTGCCGCCTCTAGGCAAGTAATTATTTTACTCTTTTAACAGTACAATTTTCGTTTCGTTATAAAGTATGGTTTTATTTTTTATTAATATGAAACTTAAAATAAAAATTTGGTTCAGGCATAATGTAGTCGGAGCACATTGAGTAGGATGAGGGGAGGTTTTACACCCAGAAAGAGAAGTAATAATAACATGTATCTACATTCTTCCCCTTTTATTGAGAAAGGGCTTTTGATCATTTGTTGGTTTGTAAACGTTTGTCGATAGTACATTATCTAATAATTTTAAACCATAAAAAATACATAAAAACTACCTAATGTTAAAAAATTCATGGAGCGTCCTAATTTTAAGTTCGTAAGATGTGTAGAATATTTGGTTTTTATCGATTTTTAAGGGGAAAGAATGAACTTTTTGTAAATGCTATTTAAAGAAATCTGTGTAGCGTTTTAGAAAATGCCTTAAGTTCATGCACAAAAAAAACATCATTGTAAAAACAATATACCTTCTCGGCTACAATATTTTGTGAAACAGTATGTACAGCTGATGTGTATTTAATAAAAACTAAATTTTATGCTAAAATACAAACAAAATTTCAACGACCCTTATAATATAAATTTTACCTACTAACCTTTGGCTACGAAAATCACATACAAAATATTGTCGGGATATAAAATATCAAAAAAATATAAAACCCATAAGCTCAGAAAGAGTAAAAATGCTTTCGTTTAGTTTAAATTTACTAAATTTGTGACCGAGGACTAGAAATTTGATTGAATCTAGATTGGGCCTTTAAAATCTAAAGAGAAATGGGAACAAATTACCGTTAAACCGTGGTAAAATGTTAGGTTACTTTGTTAGAGTACATTTCATACAGTAAACAGGTAACTGAGAAATAGTTTCAATATGTTAATTACGACAGTCGACAAGGTCTCAAAACAATAATTGTAGACAAACTATGAACACTAAACGTAATAAAATTGTATGCACATTACTGCTTTATAAAGCACTTTTAATTTATTTATGGAGTATATTTATCACTTTAAGTTATATTAATAGATATTCCTGACGACGGTGACTTCTCCCACCGACGGATATTACGATGTTTTACATATTATACTGTATTGTTATCACATTATAAATTTTTTTGTTCAATATTTCAGGGCTACAAAATTACTACAATCCTACCGTCATTTACTATATTCAAAAATCTAAACTGTTTAAAGTATTTCATTTATCTCTATAAAAAAAAAAAAAAATTGAGGTAGTATGCTGTTAGTTTATTAAATTTTTATTTTATGTATTCCTAAAAATCTAAGGGGAGTGTGGATTATTTTTGTTTTAATCAATTATATGTAGAACTATTTGTGTGAATTTTTAAATGTTATATTTAAACATTAAAACCTAAAAATTTGAAACAACTTGTTTTCTGTTGATTAAAAATATAAATTAACCTTAGCTGATGTGGTTTGGTTTTTAATAATATAAGAAAAATATATGGAAAAAAAATATATATTTATCTTTTTTTGCGGAACTGATTAATATACCAAAAACTAATAAAATATAATCCTTCAGGATTACCTGGAATACCTGTACATGTAAACTTATCCCTGATATATTTCGTAACACTATTACCTGTATACAATTATCTTGACACTACGTTTACTTCTTTATACCATTCACTACCCTATTCCAATTTTCATCTACATTTCCAATCATGCTTCTCACTAACTCTTCCTTAATTTTGAATAAATTACTTTTTTAGATATTGTGTTCTTTTATAGGAATCCACTACGGTATAAAAGCCACAGTATACAGTGTGGTCCATAACCTGTGCAGTACATGACAAAAGTAATGCTTGTTTTATTTTATTTTATTTCATTAAGTCATTTTTTTTGAAAATTCTATGTAAAGCTAGCTGTATTAAAGTTTTTTTTTTTAATTTGGTGTAATTTTTAATAATAGCATGTATAATATAGTGTGATCATTTTATCGTGAACCACTCAATATCTCACAGGGTTTAATGGGATATTTAATTAATTTATTCATATCGTTTATAAACAATGTCAAATGTTAGAATGGTAGGGGAAGTACGTTTGAGAAGTGTGAACATTAAGATGATAAAATAAAAACGTGAAAAAAAATTATTAATTGAGTCTTAACCCAATGAGACATTTAGTGGTTCGTGATACAATGATCGCCTTGTATATCGCCAACCTTACACTTGTGCAAATATATTGAACTCAAAACTTGTTCGCAATATACCAAAAGAAGCATACGCATTCAAAATGTAAGCTTTGTTCACATGTACACACAAAATTTATTCGAACAATTTAAAATTCAATTATTTGAATAAAAAGATATTCGAATAATTTTTAATTTAAATATTCGAATACTATTTAATTATATTACATATTAAATATGTTTTTTCAGTAATTTATTTTAAAATATTAGTTTGTAGAACTACAAAATTGTACTCATCTTAAGGGTAAACTAGTGTAGGTTGTTAAAAAAATCATTCGGTATACTATATTTTTTCAATTTTTATTTTCTAGAATTTTATTTGGGCGTCTTAGTTAAAATACGACACGGTTTATGTACAAATTAAACTTTAAAGTGTAGTTTATGAATAAAAAATTGTTTCTTTAAAAGTGTTAGGTACACTTGAATAAAGCATGACCTGGTTTCGTTCTCAATGTTCTCCTTTGATTAAAATGCTTAGTGTACAAAAAGCCAAAAAATATTATTTTGTTATAAGACGGTTGTGTAAACAGGTAATAGGAACATATTCTGTGTTTGTCAAACTGCCAAACCACTACCGTTTACTTATGATGCACAGCCTTAATTTTAATACGTATATTATGTTGAACAAACAAAATATATGTAAGTATTTATTAGTTTTACGCTGATATCGCAATAACAGCAGCCATTAAAAAGAATAAGAATTATTAAAGTCTTAAATCCCTGCAAACATCAAGTGTTATACGTGTACAACAAAATTTAATCATGTATTTCAAATTTATAGTTATCTTCACATCAATGTTATTTTACTTTCTAGTGGCTAATGCAACACTTACTCCTAAGGTAATTGGAACTTTTTCTATCTAAATATACGATTCATTGAAAAAAATAATACTCTAAGACCTAGTGAATAATATACTAGTAATAATTTGAGACATATTATTTTTATAATAGTAGTATAATTCGCATATTATATTAAAAATAAATACGCTTTTCTAAAAAATAGTAAAAAAATTATTTTACTACAAGAACAATTTACCAATCAGTTGTAGCACCCCCATATTTGACATACCGGCATTTGCGATTTGGATGTCTGAGTCCCTATATAATTACAGGATATTGCATTGACATCCTAGATGATTGTCTGTGCAAAGTTTCAGCCTTCTACGACATTAGGAAGTGGGTTTAATTAATTTTGCATGGGTATTTACAAGAAAAACATGTAATAAAAATGAAATGTTTTTAGGAACTCGCTGACTTTTATGAAAAGGTAACACTTAAAGATAAAAATTTCAAGCTAAAAGAACTGACTTACTCAGTAACTAAGCTTTATAAAATTGAGGAGCCATTTGTAAAAGGACAATTTACCTTAGCTACAGTACGAAAATACATTGATGACGACAAGCCTAACCTACTTGAAGAAGATGTTGACAATATAATACTACACACGTGGGGTACGTTGAATTATAATACTTCAGCAATGGTGTTGTAAAACATTAAATGTATAATATTATGTAAAAATATGTGAATAATCAATTATCACATTGATGTTATTATCGGTAGTGTGCGGTAAATTTTAATGCGAATACCTTTTTAACAATTTCTAGCTCGTCATATGTCATTAGAGGAATTTCTAGCAGCAATGAATGAGAAATTTACTGATTGGGTAATTTAATTTTTTTCTATCCAAATATATGATTCATTAGAGAAAAAAAATACTCTATAAACCTAGTGAATAATAGTCACATTCTTTCTATAACAGGAGTATTCACATTGTGTTTAAAAAATTAAAATGTTGTGATTTAAGGAACTCGATACAATTTATGATGTGGTTGAGAGAAGGGGGGAACCAATTGTGGTAAAAACGCTGTTTAGCACGAAAGTAACCAAAAAAGTAACCAAGGATGGAGTGCGAAATTACTTTAAAAAGGAATTCCACATTTATAAACTAACTGAAGGGGAAGTCGAAGGGATAATTGCAAACTTGCGTGGTACGTTAAATTATAATAATTCAGTAATAGATGTTGTAAAGTATATAATATGTAAAATTTGAAAAACTAAAAATCACTTTGATGTTGTACAATGTTGATGTTATGGCCAAGATTGTACATAAAAACGTAATAATAATAATAATGACCATTCGTTACAGGTTAATATAGTTTGGTAATTTATAACGTGAATACTTTTATAATGATTTAAAGATGAACATATGACAAGAGAGGAATTTAAAAAATTAATGAGGTCTCAAGACAACATTAAATAATGTGGACGCTACAACACCACCAGCCAGTGGTGAGTTTAAAACTCTGCCGCTTCTAGGCAAGTAATTATGTCACCCTTTTAACAGTACATTTTTCGTTTCGTTATAAAATATGATTTTATTTTTTTTATTAATATGATAACTTAAAATAAAAATTGCCACATTTTTTAAAAAGCCAGTACAGTGAGATTACGACGTTTTACATAATTTACAAATACTGTACTGTTGTCACATTGTACATTTTTTTTTAACAGTATTTCAGGGCTACAAAATTACTATAATATCCTACCGTTGTTTACTATATTCAAAAGTCCAAACTATATAAAAAATTTAATTTATCTCCTAAAAAAAATGTCAAGGTATGTTGTTAGCTTATTTAATTTTATGTATTCTTAAAAATCTAAAGGGTGTGTGAGTTACTTTTGTTTTAATCAATTATAGTACTATTTGTGTTATTTTGTAAATATAATATTTTAACATTAAAACGTTATAAAAATGTTAAGCAACTCGTTTTCTGTTGATTAAATATATAAGTTAACCTATACAGAGCCGATAATTATATTAAAAACTAAAAAATATATTCCTTCAAGATTAACCTGTATACTTACTTGTACGTGTAAGCCTATCCCTGTTATATTTCTTAATACTATTAATACCTGTATACAAATTACAGTTATCCTACCACCACGTGGTAATACCATTGGGGTAAATGGTCAAGTAGAAAAAAAAAGTGTTTCAACACAGCTAATGTGATCGTATCAAGTCAATGGAATTACATTAACACAGAGCTGTGGTGATCGCACCTAACCTAACCTAACCTTTAGAGCTTAGGAAAAGAAGAAGGGTGTGACAATAAGTAAAATATTCTCAAGGATCAAAATAGCAAAAGAGCTAGCTTTTTTTAGGGTTACCACCATTGACTATTTATAGTTAATGGTTACCACAAAGTTATATTGTTGATTGAACAGCTAACTATACTTTCACAAAGCTTAGCTTTTTTCATTACTTTAGATTCAAAAAAAATCTTTGAAAAGGTTATAATGAAATTTTGAGATCACCTTATAGCAACAACAATTAATTTTCAGAATAAAAATTATAAATTAGCATAACACCAAGTATAAATAGTGAGTTGATATAATAATATAATACAGTGTTGCCCGATCGTTATGGGTTGCTTCTCATATAATACACCTATCAATATTTTCTTAATTATTTACATGACAAAGTAATAAAAAAGACAACAAAACACATATTTTACCATACAAAAGTTTAAACCCTATCAATAAATGTAATAAAAACAATAATATTAATATAAATAATTAACATTGTATTCATATATAATAATACTAAAATTCAAATAAATATTTGATATAATAAGAATAAAAAAAATAATAATTGTTCATACAATCACAATATTAATGCCACTTGTAGTAGGCAATTTGACTATAAATTAAGTATATGGCCTTGTATGACTATTCCAAAAAAAGTATACAATTTATAAAAATGGCAAAGTGATTAAATATTTTGAGTTTGGAAAAACCTTTAAGCACGATGTCTAAGGTCTTTTAGTAGCATAAAGAAAGCGTTGATGTCGCCTAAGGTTTGAAATTTCCGAAAAAGACTTTTTGCAAAGGTTACATGTGTAGGGCTATTCACCGGTGTGTACGCGTTTATGTCGTGTAAGGTTTCCATTTAAAGAACATTTAAAAGATAATATAATCTTAAATTAAGATGAAATTATCTTAAATCGTGCCTGGGAGGCAGCCGTTTTGTGTACCATTTTCATGGAAAGTAAAAATGCTACGTTACTTTTCCATGATAAATATTAAAATGTTAGGTCAGGTGATGATGACACCGTAATACATTCGATAAGTCATAGAAAAAACAATGAATAACACGGACAAAACAATAAGTATTCACAAACTGGCAGCCTCCCAGAGTTCAGTGATACTCGTACTCGTTCTCGTGGCACAAAACATAGCAGACTTGGGCGTTATGGAAACTCGGTTGTCGAATATCGTTAAACATTACGCGTTTACTATATTTTATATTATAAAATTTAAAAATAACACACAAGTATACTTTGGTATTTATATGTTAGAACAAACGAGCGCACGCCGATTCGGTTGCTATCCGAGTAATGTTGATCACAGGGTTAAGCAACATACGACGGCCACCCACAAAGCCGACCGCGGTAACCTCCGGTGGGAAACGGCTTTTCCGCAAGGGTTAATGTCGTACACAATATCGTAGAACGCTTCAGCACTTTCGTAGTATATGTCTGGCATGTCTGGTATCGGCGTGGTGATCTCTTTCGTCCCGCCGCCTGTCGACGACTCCGGTGAGCTGGTCGGTGCTTCTTCGTCCGTATCGCCTAACATCAGATCTTCCGTATCGATTTTGACCATGTAATAAACCCACGGCAAATAGTAAGAGACGATGGAAAAGTGCGACACGTAAATGCGTCGATCTTTGTTGCGATCAGGATGCAGTATTGGTCTGTCGGTTGAATCTGCGATTTAAAAAAATATATACACAGTAAATTCCACCGCTTCACAGAAAACCGTTGAATTAGTTTATATTATGTTTTTGAAGGTTGCGGTATTTTGGCGCCATCTAGCGGTGAAAATTAAAAAACGTCCTGGCGCCCCATCTGGCGGTAAAAAATACAACCACACCCACAAATTTTTCGTTTCGCGAAATCGTTTAGAAGAAGAAGAAAAAAAAATGTGTACCCGTTGCAAAAACATATAAAATGAAAAGGTGGTAAAACGAAAAAACCGACACCAGTTATCATCACGAAAAAATCAGCTGATTTATCAGATAAGATAAAAGAGATAAGGGAAAGCGATAAGAGATAAGAAATATGGGTTTTACTTTGGAACACAACCGGAAAAAATCGACATCGTTGTATTCACAACGTTCAAAATATAAATGAATAATAAATTCAATAATTTAAGGAGCCAAATTCTCTATGAATTGTTTTGGGCCAGATATTATGAAAACACTATAATATTGGCCAGAAACTTGATGTGTTTACTAGCCACCTTAGATACATAAAAATGTATCGTACACAAGCTGTTTGTTTTTTCGTTGGCAAACGAAGCGTGCTGGTTTGTTGACGATTTATAACTTGATAAGTTTTGTTTAATGGTTTTAATTAAATACAGCTTGTGCTTATCATTTTCCATAGTAGGTACCTGATATAATCTTCAAGCTTGAAACTTACTAGCCCATATATGATATTTAGCAGTGCCAGTGACAGTTATATATTTGATTGGGTTCCAATAATGTTCATTTTCAAAAGCATAAAGTCCCATAACAGTGTTATGCTCCATGTCAATTAATAATCCGTGATCAGGAAAGAGATTTTGACGGTTGTCGTACATAATTACAGCGACAAAAATGTATGTTGTCAATGGCCTATAAAATATAGAAATAAATTATATACATCATGTAGATAAATGTACAAACATGATCTGTTATAATATTATGTTTTAAATATTATTATTATACACATGAAACATATATTTGGAATTGTACCTAAATATATTTTAAACAAAAATATGTTCATTATACACAAACAAATGTATCGACCTATTTTAAAATTCTTGAAATATACCTACCTATCTTCGTGTTATACCAATGACAAAAAAATAAAAAAAATACATCATTGAATCTTTGAAGTAAAACCAAGCACAGGAAAAGAAATAACAGTAAACTAGTAGTCAGAAAACACGGTTGTACACGGAAAATCTATGTTGATTATTAATTAGTGTGGAAAGACTGGAAACATTAACATAGGCCAGTAAAAACTTAGTACTACTATTTTAATTGATTCTTAACATTTCTATGAAGCCGAACATAGTAAAACAAATTCTGCAAATAAGGTTTTAAACTAACAATAATTACTATAATTACCCAATGGCAGCATTGTCGCGTTCTGCTGTAACATTCGTAGATCGCCATGGCCCTAAAAATAAACCATTGTAATACCTAGGTGCATCAGACACATTTTTGCAAACGTCTAACACGGGATAAGGATGTTTGTTTTTAAATGCACTCATCAGTGACGTGTTTCTTTCTATCATTGTTTCTTTCCAACGTGTTACACCACGTTTATACGACACTGTAACCAAAAACATTGATGTTAATGAAATCAAGGTAATTTAAACTGTTGATTACTGGTCAGAGTAAAAATATCAGTCTATGCACACAATATGTAACCTTACCGCCCTGAGGAAACTCCACATCAGCATTTGTCAAGTGATTATACTTAGGCAACGACTTAATCGAATGCGGGCGATCTGTGCTTGTGGAATGCGTGCAAAGATAAATGATTATTTTTTACTCGAACACACTCTTCTAGTTATCGTAACAGAACCCAACGCTGATGTGGATGTCTCTTGGAAACATGTATTAAAGTAGGTTTTCCAAATGGATATGTCTTTTGGCTGAGGGATTCTGAAATCGACCTCATTCGACAATTAGTATTCATATATCAGCCAGACCATATTCCAGCATAATTAATCCAGGATTCATATGCTCTTTTGGCATTGTCTATACTTGTTCTATCATCATAGTTAAGTAACTACATTCCACAATAGTTTTTAAACTCTCAAAGAAAGCACCCTCAAACGATAATAAGATTTAGATTTGTTTGTCAAAAAATAATACCTATCGTAACAATTTTAAAAAGGGTCTGGAAAATGTCCTTTCGCATGACTTGATTACCATTTTCAACTTTTACAAAAAATGCAAACATATGTTTGCTACTGTGAGTCGTGTACAAATGATATTTTCATATATATTGCTTAAAATAAGACCATTATCAGAGCACCCGGAGGAGAATCGACTAAGATAATTTTGTACTTTAAGGCAGTCGTCGGAATCAGAAATGGTGTAATACATTTTCAAGTCATCCACAAAGGGGTAATAATTGCAATTATGAAAACTAACATCAATGTCACTAAGACATAATAAAAATATAAAAATAGGGCCGATAAATGGTCCCTCCAGAAGGGACTAAACATTTTTCAGATAATTGATTGTTAACCTTAACAGCTTATTATGATCTCCCAGATAACGTTGACCATAACGACTCGACTAAATATATTTTACCAAAACCGTAATATTGTTCTGGATATTCTTCCAGTTTGAGATTGTTTGTGGGGTACACCCATTTTGTTGGATTATCAATTGGATTGTTCAGCCCATCGTCCAAACGTAACACAGCGATGTCGCCAACTCTATATTGTGGTTCGTACCTGGGATGGATGAACCCGAAGTCGTCAGGGTCAACATGTCTTATATTATCAATAGACTGACATAGCGTTGAGAAGGGATTTCCTTTCAGACACACCTGTATGGTAAAAATGAATATAGGTATAATAAATATCTACTCATAATAGCTACAGTTTATGTGGGGCGCAATTAAGTACCATTGAGTTTCAAACTACCTATAATTATAAGGCTTAAATCATTTTTTCAAGCTCCTCTAGCTACATTTATGTTCAGCGGTCGACTGTTTAAACCATATAAATACCTTATGATTGAGTTAGTTACCTTACCTTGATGCTTTCAATTTTTGGTAATAACACAAAAGAAGCCCCAATCAACACGTGCTGACAGCTTGGAAACGTCGTGTTCTTCCACTCATATTCCGTGCACAATAAATATCCATGGACTTGTGTTGTAGAGCCATTTGCGACGATGGTGACTCCGACGATTCCGTCTTTGTCGAAGGTTCTTACCTCTCGTTTGTTATCTCTGTCTAGTTTGTCAATGTAATTTGGGACAAACTTAACCCCAAATGAATTTCCGTAGTCACCGATATGAAACCTTCCATCAGTCAGACCGTCAAACCACATGGTAAACATAACGACAATTGCCTTGAGAATTCGGTACATCATAATCCTACTCGATTACGGTTAAGTAAATAACATGACATAATATTATTTTATAAGATTATAATAATACTACAAACTTCGCTTAGCAACGGTTACGTTGCGCAGCCTATCAAATCTATAATACTCGTGTAAAGGCTGATAATAAAACTACTATAACTCTTTTTACTTTTGTAACTTTAATGATAGCCTATTTATATTTTATTACAATTTTAAAACAACACTTTAGCCTTTTATTTTACCTGAAATAAACAAAATAGGATTGGCGGTTAGGGCTGACAAAAAGCGAAAACATTTTGATTAGAATTATATGATTTTTATTTACTCTTAAATGTGTACCAATAAATATTGTTATGATTTCATACAAATTGTCAGTGTATTATATTATAAGAATTGTCCTTAAAAAAAAAAAGTAAAGTAATAATAATAATAATAATAATAATAATTAATAATAATAAAGAGTAGAAATACAATAATAATCACTAAAAGTAAATAGGCACATCAATAACAAATATTTCTTATCTAATTATAGTAAAAAAAATATCACGAAAAACATAATAAGGGTTTTAATAATAATGATAATAATAATAAAGTATAATTATATATTAAATAAAAATATACATAAATAAGATTGAAAATAGAAGATTAGGTCGAGTGTAATAATATATTAATTATATATATATAAATATATATATATATATTAATAAATATGTGTAGTAAATTGTGCATTATAGGTACGATAACAATTTATATGTTTAAATACATTTAAAATAGTAATCAACTTTTAAAGTCTTAATGATAATGCTAGGATTTTTTTGGAAAAACGATTTGTTGAAAATTGAAAACCAAAAAAAAAAAAATATGTATTTGAAAACAATCGAACTGATTTATCGACGGCAATCAAGGACATTATTATCATAATATTTTTAAGTATTGTTATTCTGATTGTCTATTGTGTGGCGACTTGTCTTGTTCTCAAAACGGTGAAAAAATCATACTTCGCTTTCCACGTTTTTTTATTCTTGTACAAATTTAAATACTTCACAATACTATTATCTCTAGTCAAGATTTTGTTACAAAAAAATATATATTAGTACCTAATCACCGTTAGGCGGGTATAGGAAACATAATATTGTTTAATTTTTACTTTTTTTTTTTGTTGTTAGTATAATATTATGTAGAATATATGTGTAAATATAAGGTTAATAAATAAACGAAAAATATTACATGGTAAATACGACGCAGGGCAAGAAAGGTCGGTAGGTTAAAATTTATTTATAGCCAAGACTTTGATAAGTTGAAAAGGTATTGGATTTTTGGTTAAAAGTAGTTTTTGGAGTGTGACTTATTATTATTATTATGTGCTTGTCGATTGGTACTTATTAGACGGCATCTTAAAGACATGACCTGTTTTCTTTTTTTGTTATAAACAACTTTCGTTATTGAAATCAATATTCATACAATATTCGTTTTGCATTTTAAACGGAGAAATATTTTTCAGTAAATTATGCGACCCTCTTACACCACCCCGACTCGTGTAATATAATGCCATTATATCATAATAATAAGTAATAACTTAAATAAAATCATAAAAGGTAGGCAATAATTATAATTATAATAAATAAACAAATGACAACAAAACAATAACAAAATTAATTAAAAGGAACAAAAAAAAAAAAAATTAAAAACAATAACAACTTAAAAAAAAAAAAAAGAAACCGAAAACTCTAAAAATATACGTTTAAAATAGGTTAACCGTCGTTTTACAAAGTAACTATGAAATTCCAATTTCTGGTAAAAAAAAAAAAATTACGATTAAATTGTACGATTTACATTGCTATAATGCTAATAGTTTATCGAACTCACGATTACATACACTTGTATGGTATATAAAATGAAATATGTTAATAATTACTTAGACACTTAGATTAGAGATTACAATATAAGTATAGTATATTATTATCTATACGGGTTGTCCCAAAAGTCATAAAAGGTTCGCCGTCACCTGTTTTTTTTGTATATAAAAAAAAAACAACCACGCTTGTCAAAAAGTATGTATTAATGTGGTACTAACAAAAGGGACCTTTTTTTAAAGAGAATGAAAAAATGAAATTAGTAATTTGGCCGCAGTGGTTTTTTGGGGTTTTTGAAAAATCCTTTTAGGGAAAAAAGTAAAATTATAATAACGGATAAAAATGAAAAACCATTATGGTAAAATAAATAAATATCATAACAATATTTTGAAATTGTCTATGCAATATTTGTCTGAAACTAGTGCTATCAATTTACATTATAGTATTTTATTGATTAACTAAACTTGTATTCGTTTACTTAGGATTTTAATATTAGAATAGCTGATGAACGCCTAAGAGTAGTTGTTATTTTATATGCTAGTTAAATTGATAAAAAAAATGATCAATCGATTGCTTTGTTTACTAAACTGTGAAATAATTTATACCTCTTACGAATTTATGCAGATCTTAATTTATTAACCATGATGTTATTTAAAAAAAAAAACCTTTGCAACATAATATAATTTACACTGATTTCGAAAAATTAAAAAAAAATGCCGTCCCTTCCTTTTTAAAATTTTTTTTTTTAATCACTCTAGCATTTAATATGCCTACACAATTTAAGTAAAATTTATATTTTACACTGTTCTAACATAGCAAGACCCTACCAAATTTATTCTATTCGCATAAAGTTACGTACAAACAATATTAATTAATAAGCGCTTATGTATACACTTCTAACTATTAATTAGTAATAAAAATAACCACTATTATACACACACAAACACACACACAAAGGTATTATAATACTAAAAGGTATTTTAGATGAATTTTTTTTTTGTTTTGTTCTTTAATATTATAATAATTAATACAACATACCTACAATGGCACACGACAGCGATAATATTATTATTATTTACTAAACAAGTACATTTTAATGTATACCGATGCCGAAATCAATGGCCTAAGCAATGTCTAACTTAGAATATATTTATTAGGTATATAAGTATAGAAATGTATACATTTGAATAGTAGACGCAAAAGGTAAACAAGCCGTTGGTATAAGTATTTTATTAGACAGACATGCCCAAGTTCAACTAAACTATATACCGAATGAACGGCCTATGATTCACGCTATGGGATAGTTGATAATAATAAGTAGGGGTACTATGCGGTAAGACAACACCACTATCGTATCATAATTTAATATAAAAAATTAAGCAATGTCGGCTATTAGTGTAACGACACAATTTAATAAATAAATAGGTAGGATGTAAAATAAAATATTGAATAATTTTCGAATTTAAGTAAACCTACAAAACGCCGTTGTACTTTTGAATATTATTAAATTATACAGATTCGCTACTACCGCTTAAGGGGCTTGTGTTATGATGGTGGAAATCCGTTTTAATTAGAACCGATAAATTTCGGCGAGGTGCGGTGGCCCGAAGTCGACCTTGGGAAGTCTTGGGGGGGGGGGGAGACGTGCAATTTTGAATTATTCCAAATAACTCTAGGTGCGCCCCAGGGATAACAGGGTTTAAATGCGGGACCAAAAGGGATGAGCGGGTAAACTAACCCCTAGGCGCCTAGATGGGCGAATGGTGTAAAGGGATACCGAATGTATTAAAATATAGAGGTGTTTGATTGACCGGTACCAACTAGTACCGGTTTTTTTTTTGTTTATAATATCTATTTATTTTGATTGTCTTTGGAAAAGTCGAAAATATAATTTTGCAAGAATAGCACGAAAACAAAGTATGTCTCACCAAATATGTCACATAATAATAATAATAATACAATTATTATTACTATGACTGTTATCACAGCAAGCGTGCATATGCGTGTGTATGTGTGTGTGTATGAACGGTATGGAAGAGACAAGTATGGAAACTCAGCCTATCGACATTGGTACAAATTCAGAGGAGGGGGGGGGCAAGGGGCAGGTATACTGAAAACTCTGTAAGTTTAAAATATATAATATTAAATTAGTAGTCATAGCCGGCGAATCTTCCACTTGGAAAAATAAATATTGAATTGCAAGCTTACTGGACAGTTCTAACTTGGAGTTTTAGGGGTTTGAATGGGCCAACGATACTTGCCATACTTGTCTCTTCTATAACGTGGTGTATGTCTCAAAAGAAAACCGTCTTTGCACGTGTAAACATAGCTAATAATATGTATTTCAATTAAATCCGCAGAGAAAACCAATTTTTTTCAATATAAAACGGATGAACCTGATTGAATTTTGTTTTGTATTTTCGGTTAAGTATATTTTGTATGCCTATATTGTGTAATAATATTATTATTAGATGTATGATTTGGGACAGTTGCCGCGTTTAACGGGTCGGACGTTTTTAACTATACACATAATAATTTTCCTTATTAATTAAACATTACAATCTATTATATAATATAAATCGTTATTATTATTCTATTGTATGTACTTTATAGATTTACTTAAGTATATATATTTTCTTAATAGGTACATAATAATATATTTTAGACATTTTTTTTTTGTTTTTATTATTATTTTTGTTTTACTGGTGTCTCGACGTTATGTACACATATAAACGTTTTTTATTTTAATATTCTAAACGAACACGTCATCCCTAAGTTCACATAATTGTCTTATTACCGTAAAACCGGGTTACTTGGGACAAGTATGGGTAATTTGGCCGGACGCGGGTAAAATAATACGTACTGAAATTAACCAATATAATATTACATCTGAAGTTACCCAGTTCTACCGGTATTACAATAATAATGTTATGTGTTCAATACTATGAGCGTAACAATTATACCTATTTTAGTTTTTTAAATTTTGGTTAACTAGTTAAAATATACACATATATATTATATCAGAAGACCGATTCCTCTTAGCGAAATTGAAGGTTTCGCTTTCTTTGGCGCCTACTAGATTTTCACGTTTTCTTTAGCTTACCGTATCACATCGATTACGAATGGTACTTAATAATTAAAACTAATTATAATATTATGTTACTACGTATATTACAATAAGCGGACCTAAAACTGTTGTTGTTACTTTTTAACAAATCTAACTAAAAACAAAAGTTGGTGCTCCAATGCAATACACTAGATTAATGTAAATGGGTAATTATAATAGTTGTAATATGTTATAATAATAATTGCATAATATAAGTACATTAAAATAATGACAAACGATAATGCTAATATATTTCTGAAACGAATCCTGAATGAAGAGATGACGTTTACTATGTTATAGGTAAATGTTGTAAGGATTTTAAAAATACAGTGTTAACCGTATAAAGTATTTTTTTTTTATAAAAATGGCCGTTTAATTAGTTTGTCATTATTTATGTATGTAAATATATATTCTACAAAATATATATTTTTAAAATTTTATGTCTATTAGGTAAATATAATAATATAGCTATTCAATACACACGCGCTTAAGGGTATATTTAATTAAATATATAAATTATTTATGTATATAGATTATATATAGATAATAATAATAATTTATTTTATGTCGACGACTCGAATCTTATAGTCGATAAATTAGGCTACTGCCATAAATTCCTGCGAAAAAAAAAATAGTTGTACATGATTATTATTGATTTTTTATTTTCACAGTTAGTTGGTAGCTGAAGAGTACAAGAGAAAAGGCGAAAACAATGACAGTTTAATTTCTTACATTGAAAACAACAAGGGAGTTATTTTCAATTGAATGGTTTTGAATAGCAGTACTTAGAGATGTACCTCGAGAGCTAAGTGCTGTTTTTTTTAAACATTCCTATGTGATAATCACATCCAATTAGGTTTGGAAAAAATGGACTTTATGATCTTTTTCCCTTGTAATCTCCATTGGGGGTTTCCACAACACTTACCGTAGCTGCGTTAAGTTCGGATGTTATGGTGTATAACGGCTGCCGAGGGAACGTGACCATCTCATTAATACCTGGGAATGCCTGGTGGAGCGGCAACTGAAATAGATATATATATAACGGTTAAATAAATTAAAAATATTAATAAAACTAAAAGTTCTTTTTTTTTATATATATTTTGAGACAACAATTTATTAGGGTCGTTTTCAGCGTAGTGGGCAATTTGATCACAATTATTGTTATTTTAACCATGGAAATACATAGGTATAGAGTTGTGTCTCAATGGAGCTTAAAATACATTCATCCAGCCACAGGATCTTTACTAAACTTTGGCCGCCAAACCTGGAACGTCTCATTCAATTTCAAAGTGGGATCCCGCAGGAATTCTAACGGCCACATAAGTCGAATAAACAGTAGTGTTTCCTTGACTCGAAGGTTTTCCATTGCACTAATGATTAAATTAAAGGAGAAACAATTTATCCCTGTCCCCTATTGCTCCTCTTCCACATAATAAACCCTCCGCAATCCTTTGTTGTCCTAACAAATGTGTCCTAATCACGTCGGTCTTCGCTCACCAGCCCACCGTTGACTTGGCTCTCAAAGGCAATTTCTTTATATTATCTTATGTGCGTTGCCAACATTGAATAAAATATAAGAACCCTTTACTCGCACACCTGGCTGCGATTACGAGCACGTATGGTAACCGCAGTGACTTTATTAAACTTAATAACGGCCTGCATACGTTTAAGTGTAATAATATTCGTTATTATACAAAACACACGAGGCGCCACTCCAGCGTTGTTCTCGCAGACTGTTGGGGGATATAATTAAAAAACTTGGAGGAGAAAAAATTTGGCGTCAAAATAAGAGAGTGCTTTCGCGCAGATGTTGCCTTTGCGATTACTGTACACACACACACACACAAATTAAATCCCTACCGCAGCAGCATTTATCTTCCTCTCGCCGAGTACAATATATCAAAATTTCTTCCCCCGTTTTCTGGACAAAAAAAAAAAAAATAATAAAAAAACACCATTATTTTACGTCGTCTCCGTTCGACGTGGGTTTTCTCCCTATTCGCCTTGGCATCGTTTCATTTGAAATTCCACTGAAAGTTTACCGTCCCTATCGAGTAGGCTTCGCCATACGACCATAAAATTATACAGCGTGGATGTACTCGAAAAGCGCTTGCCGGTTAGCTTTGGACCAAACGCGATATCGTTATGGCGATGCATACGTTTTCGGTTTTTTATCCCCCCCCCCCGCATAATACCATTTAAATATTCCAATCATTTTTCCCATCGAATCGACCGCTTTTTTCGCCAATAGGTAGCGGCTCCGTTGTGGAACTAAGAAGGTACCCCTGTTGATTTTGTAAAATCAAATCGTTCGACGAATAGTAGAAGAGCATCTTAAAGCTCTGGGATGTAGTGATGGCGGCCAAGACTCTAATAGAGTTGTAAATGCCAGTGAAGAAGAGGAAATGGTTCATTTCCAGCGTAGGGCAGAGCTAAGACAATCCCACCGGGAAAGCCAATCCCTCGGCGAGCGAGACGTTGGCGCTTAGGAGTAGCTGAACGCACTCACTGTTACGGTATTAATTTGAAATTAATAATTCGGTGCACGCAGGGTTCAGGACGGATTTCTTAGTACGCTGGCTCGAGGAAACGAGATACTGACCCGCTGTTATTGCGGTCGCCAATACAATATCGGTATACGTTCACTCACGGTGGCGTTGTCTTAGGTGCACACACACATTTGGTAAGGTTGGGGAAAACGTGCCGGGAAACCGGGCATTAAAGCGTTTAGGGGGTTAAAACAAACACAATTAAACGGAAACTTAGCAGTGCCGGTGAACGCAATCAACGAAATGCGCACTGTACGTAGATGGGGCACCGGGTCCTATTCCACAGGGTATACTGGTACATTTATCCTTTATTACCCCCGTCGCCTTTGCCCGCATTAAAACCGCCCTGGAGTGACCGTTGTGGCCTGCTGCAGACTAGATTCGCGACGGGAGTGACGTTAATGAAAGCCGAACGGCACAACAAGCGGGTACAAAACATCTACCACTGTCACGTTTAATACGTTTCCCGTTATCAACAGCTAACTTTGTTTTGGTAAGCACAAGTCTGGTTTCGCTGAAGTTTGTCGCGAGCAAACCCGAAAACCCGCAGACTGAGAATCTGATTTGAACACCAAAAACACAACTGTAATTAAAGTGCAATCCTCGTGATTGTGGAAATAAATGAATTATTATTATTATATGCTCTATATTGGTTTTTTGTTTAACCTGAACAAATCGGCATCCGGGAATCTTTGATATAAGCATAAACGATTAAAATAAAAAACCTTAGAATTAAAAACGAACGACCACAGTGATAAAAGAAACGTAGGTTTGTGTTGAAGTATTTTCAATTTTTTTTTTATAATAGCGGTTCAATTATTTACAAAAATGATTGCCGTTTCGGCATCAGTGACCGCTTTGAAATTAATTGTACCGCCAATTTTCGTTTAATTTTATTTGAAAAGTGTATTTCACAAAAGAATATTGAATTTTCCGTCGAGCACAGAGTTCATTGTTAAGTCAATTAGGCATTGAAAAACTTTGTTCGTTTGAGATATTATAATACTTTCAAATGAAAATTATTAAGGAAATCTCGAAAAAAAAAAGCCGCACTAATTTAAGTAAAGAAACGGAATTGTTATTGTGTAGTAACGACTTAGTAGTTAAGACATATGGGTTAGAGGGGAAAAGGGGGGGGGGAAGAAATTAACATTTCTTTTTAGTTTATAAAACGTACGGCTTATTGCAAAGTTTTATAAATGTAATTATATTTTTAATCAACTAAAAGTCCGTTAAACAAAAAACGTAAGGAACCCCATCCGAAATGGAAAAGAAAAGAATTCAAACTTAAAAAAATAACAAAAATTTCTCTTGTTGGCATGATGACGAGTTCTGAGATTTTTTTAAGTGGTAAAACCGAAAGCGGTTTATATTTTCTTTAACATTTTCCCGTTGAGAAACTTTTATTGTATTTGCTATTTTGGAAACGTCCATAACCATATCAGTTTTCTTTTACAACAAGTTTGTTTTCGATTTATAGCGCATGACGTTAACACTTTTGAAGTATATATAAATATATAAGTAATGAATCTCGCCGAACCCTCTTCGGCTTGGCGGTTGCACTTGTAACTTACTGAAAATTATTTTGACGCTTTTTTTTTCTTTCCGTTTTTAGTTTTAGCAACTATAAATTTGCTTGCCGTCAAAATTAATAGTTTCCATTTATCTTCATCGCTCGGTACACGACGGCCATTTCGTACACTACACACAGATCTCTCTCTCTCGGCTCTTCGATGCACTGCTTATCGCACTCGGTCACGTTCGCGTGTGTGTGTGCTTTCATTTTGTTTAATTTCTTTTGTTCAAACTTTTTTCCTCTAGGCCACCGTCTCCAACGTTGCAGCGCACTACTCTAATCTCACTATTCACACCGAGTCAGCGGATCCGGACTACGTTTAAATATGTACCTGGGCATTAAATACTGTATATCCAGGGTCGTTACCAATTATCGGTAGCCAAGTCACATTACTATAACAATATTAGTGTTTTTTTTTAATACAAATCTTAGCTTTTTACTTTGGGGGGTTTCCCAATTTAATAGCTGTAATTATTTCATAACAAAAATTGCAGTACTGCAGAAAATATATCATTTTCTCTCTATCTCTTTGTCTCTCTCTCTCTCTCTCGCCGTTTTCTCTAGTTAATAATTAATATCAACAGCCGTCAAGTATAATAGCTGTTTATACTCACAAGACACCGTGGGCACAAAAGGCTGGAGCAGTTGTTGATAAGTGCCGGAGCTCTGTTGGTGGAACACCGGCATTCCGTTTTTGTCGTTGCCGGCACGTTTGTATTGCATCATTCCCGGGAAAGCCTGAAACGACGAACGTGGTTAAAATACAATGTGGCGATAATACAACTGTATAAGCTTTTGCTGCAAAACAAATAGTGTGCAGCACAACAGTGTATAGCGTTTTTTAATCCTTTCTACGACGGTTCATGCACGGTATCAACAACACGAAACACACACACACACACAATGTTCGCAAATGCAAACAAAACAAATCGCTCTTGTTCAGAAATAAATAAAAAACATTTTATTTCCACTGAATTTTTTGTTTGTCCGTGATTGCAGCCCAGAAACAAATCAAACGTCGAAAAGTCCACAAAGGGATATATTTACCCTAAGGGAAACGCCGTGACTAATTGAATGTAGGCATGTCAATGTTAGCTGTGCTTTAACGGAGCACGCGGGGGGGGGGGGAGAATAAGCTATAAATTGATCTTGTCCGAGTCCTCACAAACACAAAGTCCAGATGGCCAGCTAACGTTTATGTGTATCACTTGTGGTGGATGTAGCGGAATCAAAAAATCCGAATCCTCAAAAATGTAAGTACAATCCCATACTTACTCTGAACACTTTAAAAACTAAAAGATGAAAATGTCCAAGTATTTGTTTCATAATATTATTAAAAACTATAAAAGTAATATTAATTTTATTCAGAAATTATGTTTAAAAACCAACAATGTGATTTTATTTTCTGTTTTTTTTTCACAACATTCCTATCAGATACTTTTTATTTTGATACACTTTGCAAGTTAGTTGCAAACGAGTAAAATAAAAAATTGTTTAATTTGATTGAGTTTTTATTCAAATCGTTTTGTTTTCTTAATCTTTCAAATACAAAGGCCTGTAAAACTAATTGTAAATGTCATTTAGTGCGAGTATAATTTCATTTTAATTATTTTTTTACTTAAAATTAAACAAAAAATCGCACGAAAATAATTAGATAATAAATTTAATATAGCACATGATTATTTGAAGTAAGTATTATATTTATTTAAAAGACATTTGTAAGAAAACGAACCTCGTTAAAATTTAAGAATAATATATTTTCTTGCTTACAAGTAAATTCTCGCAGGTATGTTAATTTGAAATGATAGTTTCACCAATTAATTTTATCAGCTAACTCCAGAGATGCTTAATATTGTCGATCGTTTATTTTTTTACCCTCAGTCTAAGTAAAAAATATCAAGTTCAAAATAAAAAAAGGTTATTTATATTTTCATCTAAATCTGGCCAAAAATAAAAAAAACAAACGTTGCATTCGAAATGCGCACACATGGTGTAGAGTACCACAACTCAAAGAACATAGTTTTGGAAAAAATTCGCTTTTAAAATAATTGTAACTGCTCCCAAAAGGTTAGTTTTAAATCTCTAACTTTTGTTACCCAAAGCTAATAAAATCTTAACCAGGCGCTAGAAATTTGGGTTATGGCGATTTGGCAAAAGGTTTTTTCTTAAAAAATAAACCACCACGTTTTGTTTTGTTTATCTCGTTAAATGTATTTAATGCCATAAACCGAACAGTCGGTTCATCCGATTTAGAATTATCAAATTGAAACGCCACAAATCGAAATCATGCAGTTTTCATTTATTTTGCTGAACTATATAAAAAAAACAGAGGCATTGGTAGATAAAAATGATATCCATCCATCTGTAGCCTTAACTTATAGAAAACCCAAATTATCTATCAGTCGTGGTATTCCAAGACATTCCCCTACCTTCCCCTTCGCAACAGTGTATCCGCTTACTTAAGTATGCTTACTTGCCGACGACACTGTGCCGGAAGTTTATTGATAAATTCCCATCGAACCCATACTCAAATGGGTAGTTTCTTAGAATAGTCACTTATCGAATATTATACATTACATATATGTATACAAATGCATCAATAACGGCACCCCGGGGACTTAGTATTTAACAACGTTTCGGAGTTTACGTTTTCCACGACCAAGGTACTTGGTGTGTAATATTGAGTTTGGCACACACCCCCGGCCAAAAGATTTATGGCAAGCCATTAGACCGTATACTGTGTACGTGCACGCTTTAGGTACACTTTTTCTACGGTCAATGTAATATATTCCGCTGGCTTTTCGGCGGAGAAGTTTGTACGGAATGCCTAAGAAGTTTTCGTCAGGTACAATTTCCAGAAAACAAAGTCGTGTAAACCCTGATAGCAGATAATGTCGACGACGAGTTGAAAGCTGGGAAAAGTTAATTATATATTATAATAGTTATCCAATTTTTTTTTTAAGATAAAAAATCTATACGTCATATAATGCCTAATAAGTTAATATGGTATAGACACGAATGACTTGACTAAGAAGCCACCTATTAACAAGGCTTAACAGAAAAAAATAAAAGTTAAAAGTTCCATTATTAAAATTAATAGATAAGTACCTCACTTAGTTGAGTCTAAACCTATTTGAAAAAATAACTTAATTAATTATAGCTATATGTTAATTTCAAAATGTCTCTTATAAAAATTAATCATTTATGTTTTAAACATTTAAATTTGATGCCAAAAATTACTTTGTGATGTAGCAGCTATCTTCAAGTAATTAGCATGGAAAACAAATGTTTTTATCACAACTAAACTACATAAAATAATTTTTTTCCTAAATTCGAATTTTTACAGATCCTAGTTATTGTAGAAATAAAAAGCTGATATTTCAATAAAAAAAATTTCAAAAACTATTTAACACCTTAATGCGTAGTTTTGGCCTCACACATTTCTCATTTCTTTCAAAAAATTGAGAGAAAGGTTAAATATTTTTTTTACATATAATTTTCTCGCTGCTTTATACAAATTTACAACGACCCTAAAATACTTAAAAAATATTTTTTTTCTTATAAAAGTGGGCATTTTGACGATTATTGTACGGTTACGACTTAATTATCTGTAGATTTTTTATGCTCACCGCGATGACAAAATAGGAAATATTTTCATGGACTTATGACATTGGTGGGCTGCTCAAATCTCTGTGTACATTATTGCTAATTTTCTGCGAAACGATAAACTTTCTTTGCTTTATATTGAATTAAAAACCGAGAAAATCGCATTAACTTTTTTATTACACGTTTTAAGTGGTGAGGAGGTACGTAATGGCACTTGCCCCATCACTTAAGGGTTCTTAAATTCTTTTCATAAGTAGGTTTTTTTAAAAGTTTTATTAAAAAAAAAAAAACTAAAGTGTACATTGCACCGACGCAATAGCCGTTGTACACACTGCTGTGGGTCACGTTTCCAAAGGTTCGACCGTCTCCCGGAATAAGTCTAAACGTGTGTGACAAAACGTTTCGTCCTGTGCTATACGGATTCGGGCATATTATATTTATATAGGTATATATATTTATTTATAAGGGTGTCATTGTGAAAAATACGGTTGCCGCTTTTTGTGCCGGCGTGCCGTGGCCCGAATTCATAATGGTCAATTTAAAATATTTAAGAGATGCGATTCTTCTGTACCGGGAAAGTCGAAAAATACCGTAGGCAGATAGATAAATTTGCCAATGCCCCGGCACGCGTTCCCCGTTTTATTTGTATTGTATCATTACACTGTAGCACTGTGGAAAACAATTCCGTATAGTTTATTATTATTTTTTCGACATTTCTATCTGTGCCCACTCGCACCCCAGCGCCTCTGCTCCGGAATTGATGTACCGACATTTTTATTCCACTGCCGCTCTCAGCAATAAAACACACTACCCATACATACCGGGGCAATTGGGAAAAATCCAATTCAGACCAACAAGTCGTACGGGAGTCTTATTATAGAATCCACTGGTGCACGGTATAATATAATTAAATAATATATAACCTATTGGCAGTTAACGGTATTGCACGTGGGCAACGCTGTACCATAATGTACAACCATTTTTATGAACCCACTCCGGCCTGAACAGTTGTAAAAGTTGACCTGACCCGATAGACTCAAATCAGAGGCTTTATGCTTTCATATCTGTCGAGTCAAATGTCCAGACACATCTGAGTGTACATAGTTTGTAATTAAAAAAAAAAAGTAATAATAACTAATAAACAAAGCCGGTTAAACGGCCAAACAAAACGAGTTACCAGTTTTTTGCACAGATAATTAATTACTAATAAATGAATGGGATTTTGGTTTTGGAAAAAAAAATGACGGATGTGCAACATTAATAAATGGGTTTCAAAATCGGTTTTACAAAATAAAATACCGAAAGAATAATAACTTGAGTTTCAAAATTCTTGAAAAGTATACACTTTAGCTGTAGGGTGTATACATAAATATGTCTCACTGAAATTATTCTCAGGGAGGAGGTGACTTCCCCTTTAATGCTTCTGTCATGATGCGCAAGGGCAAAAAAAAAATTGTAATAAGAAAACGAAAAGGGAAGAAAGAATAAGCTGTAGCCATTTCGGAATTGTAACGAATTGGCCTTTTTGTGGATTATTATGTATGCAGAATACCTATGCGTATGTATTAGTCAATATAGAAGTATCTCATTTTTCGAATATTTTAACGGGTCACCGGGTTTCCAATTTCGTATACGGCGGTTTTCAGTTTTAGCATGTAATTAACATTTCAAAAGATTTCTCCGAGTTGTTTTTGAACTAACTACGCCAAAGCCGCTTTGGTATGCACACACTGTAATAACATATTTTGGCGCTTCATATCATAGAAGACTCGTTTCAAAACGCATGTAAATGTATTCGACTTGAGGTAGTTTACATTGCATATTATTATTAAGCAATAAAAGATTGGGTTCGGTAAAGGTAGGTAAACGGGAGTTCAATGCTAAGTCCTTTGACCAAGTCTACAATAACACCGTTGGGATAAACAGATCAAACGACACAAATTATTATTATTGTTTTCATTTTCCTAGTTGGATTTGTTTTTTACATTCATAAGTCAACGTTATACTTCGGTGAAGTCGACGGTTAAATGAACAAACATTCGCTAATGCGTTTTCTCACTGTTATCAAGACTCACGCCGTAGTTGTTATGCTGCCAGCGTCTTATCTCCTCTTTTTTAATGTTTCGCCTCGTTCGTTTGAACGTTGTTCTTAAAAAAAAAATATCATAAGCACCAATGATAACATTTTTACAGTTGTGCGGCAAAGAAATTATTATACAAGCACTCAGGGTTTCACCGAGTAATCTCATAAGCATTTAACCGCATTCGCATCCTATCTAGCTTGAAATTCAAAATGAACCTTTGTTCATTAAAAAAAAAAAAAAATGTTTAGCTCAATGTAGATTTACATTTGTAAATGTAAAGATTTCTTATTTGTAAAAAACTTGTGATAACATTTTTTACAAAAATCGATTAAATGATTAAAAGTTATCTGAACGAAAATGATAATATATGTTTTAAAAGGTAGTTTTTACGTTAATTGTATGATTAAATATTGTATTGTAATAAATTATTATTGTATTAATGACTTCGGATACAATTAACCGGAGCTTGTCTAGTCAAAAGAAGTCAAGACAGATTTTCCCAAAAATTAGGACAATTTTTAACTAATTTTAGTTTATATTTTTGTTTTCTATTTTTCGATACAGACAGCTGTTAAAGTCTAACATAAAACCGTAGGTATATTTTATGGGTTTAAATTTAACCTTACCTTATCTAACCTTACCAGTAACATAGCGTTACGTTGTGATATTTTGTATAATAGATGAGTACAGTTTGAAAAAGTTTTAGAGTTGTAGTTCGCTTTTATAATAAGAATTAAGTCAGAATAAGTTAATATTGTATTTGTCAAGAAGATTTATGTCAGAACTTAATAAATGAATTTAGTGCACAAAGTCTGCATTGTGATGATACTTGAAATAATGTATTTTTACCGTTTTCAATTATAATAATAAATTAACTAACAAAAACTAAACTTTTTAAATGAACATTAATTAGATATTTCTTCTGAAAAATGTAGGTTTTCGACATCAAGACTGAACACTAAATAACCGTTAATTTAAAACAAGTTTTCAGATAGTAACCAGTTTGTAAAAAATTAGTATTTGAATTGCTATCATTTAATGTAATAATAGAGAAAAACAGACTGTTATTACAAACATTATTATTTTCTTTATCTAAAGTCAATCTCGTTTTAAATATTAAAATAATCACAAAAAAATAAATGAAATAAAAATTAAAATTAAAAATTATATAAACTATAAAAATTTCAAAAGTCACCATATTATAAAAAGTTCTTTGATAAGTCATTTTTCATATTTTAACAATGTTAATTCTCTTAGTTCTCACTACCAGTGTTGTAATAATTAATAGTGCTTTACTAAATTAATATTATTTACGGAAAAAAAAACAATAATTCTGTTCAGTAAAAGATAACTCGCTTAATATTCATGAGTACACTAACAAGTTTGGTATCTTATGTGTCCGTGTGTGTGTACACGGCGAGAAAGATTAGCTTTATCGGCGGTCCCGGGAATTCGAGTTAACCATTACTCAGGCTTATGTTAATGAGGCACATATTATATTATACAGGGATCAACAGCTAATGCTGGGGAGGGCAAAAAAGTGGTAGGTATCAGCGAATAATAATTATTGCTGTTATTATTAAAACGGCAATGCAAGTATATCAACACCCGGAGTTTGCCTCGATAAGTTATATAATTTACAAAAACACAATAGAGTAGCAATTTTTGTGATAAGAAAAGTATCAAATGTGTGCAAAAGTGAACAATAGTCGAAATGTTATGTGCGTATGTGTGCATATCCAAATGAAAAGGGGTAAAGATAATAACGGTTTACTACAATATTATGTTCAATGGCTGTATAATTATTATTATCATTGTTATCAACAGAAACGGTGATCCCTTTCCGAGTGCCAGTGTTGTTTAACTAGTATACATTATTCATAATAAATTCTCGAGTCCCTGCTGTTGGGAGACTAGTCCACCGCCCCTTTTGCCTTGTTTAACAATGCCGAACAACCACTATTTTGGGCTGTGAAATATTGCCTTATGCCGTTCTTTGTTGATCTAGTCTGAATGGAATTTATATTGAAGAAAAAAATATTGTATATGTTTTTGTAAATTACCCAAGTCAAAGATCATCCAAGCCGTCTTACCTGACCAGACAGAGATCATAATTTATCTGATTGCTCGATAATGTTTCATCTAGCTGGTGTATAAAATTAATGAAATTCATTTAGATAAAAAACAGATGAAATTATCCTAAAAAATTGTAAAACTGGAAAAAAATTATCCGAGTTATTTTGTTGTATGTACAATGTACATAATATATAAATGCTGAACAGCAAGGAGCGGAGATGTTTAAAAAGGATAGACAAATATTATTTGAAGGTTTACTAGTATTGGGATAATACATTTTGTAATTGAGTTGGCCAAAAATATATTTTATAGGATCATAAAAACGACAACGATCCAATGGACAAAACTGTATTGCCAATGTTGATAGCCATTTTTCAGTAGATATTGTTTACAATAAAATCATTCAAGTCTAGACGATAAAGGACATAACAATATTAACAATATATATATATATATAAGAGGTTAGTATTTATTACCAATAAATATAGTAACGGCAATTAACTTTTATTTTATTTGACTGATAGTGTAAGAAATCCCAATCGTCTCTTTTTGGTCTAGTCTTGTGTACGCATTGAAGTAGCTAACCTAACCTAACCAAGGTAACTCGTGCACGGCGTTTTCCAGACCACTTGTATCTTATACACATGTTCTGTGTGCGACTATGCCGTTGTAGAACGACTGAAATGATTAGTATTTTAATTTTGATTTCACATCTCTTATCCGGGTCGAAATTATTACACTGGCTAGACCGCGAAACGCGCATGTGAATTATTTACCAGTCAAACAGCGAAATATGTTTGCCGTCGACGATTAATAATGAATTCTGACCAAATATTATTGTTTGGCTACCGTCGAATAACTCGGGAAAACGGTCTGTTGCGAGTAATGTCGGTGTGGAAACTCTAGCAAGGCGTTGCCATTTCTTGGTATTTAATATTAGGCACGGTATTACCATGCAAGGCCTAACCGACCTTTACCGGAGGAAAATTCAATTACTATACGGCAGACACGTGCCGGGCTAAGGTGGCGTACAGCCGGTGATGTACTGCAATGCTATGTAGTAATCATATGTAGTCGTTTGGCGAATATGCTAGGGCCTGTGCGAATTACACGCAATAAGTTAATCAGCCCACAATAATTTGTTAACGCATCTAGACAGCTAAAGCAAACATGTCACTCGGTGTACATGTTTCCGGTACTGCCGGCGAGGTGACATCACCAAAAAAACGACTTACACCTGTGTAAGGAAAACACAAAGAGACACATACTCTCTTTTTCTACACATAAATTACATTTGGAAATGCACACGGGGTATTATTCGATTTGGCTTTGTTTTGGTAAAGAAAATATTAAAAAGATGTTTTTTTTTTTTTTTTTTTTTTATGACGTTGAGGATATTGTCTGGAAGGCTACACTACAGGGTTGTCACCTGTTGACCGAACGAGAGAGCCGGAGTGGAAATCGCTGAAATTAACCTGTATGGGGTGTTGTCAGAAATTCGACCTTCGCTTTTCGGGGAGGGGCGGCGCAACACTAAGTCAGGGCAGCGGGATAGTGCAAAGAGAAGAAGGGTTAATTTATTAAGGTCCGAGATGGCCGCTGCTGTGGCGGTTATTGTGGTTTTTACACGCGGCCGCCGTTCAAGCATAAATCATGGTTTTTCTCTTTCTCCCCTACAGACTTAACCTATTTATATATGTATATATATAATATATATATGCATCTGTACGTTGTTACATTGCCGGTAGATGCCGGCAAAACGGCGCGAGTAACTAATTATCAAACAGCAAGGCGCTTGCGGTAAAGCAACAAAGTTGGGTGTGCAAAAAAATAATAAAAATGTCTATACACATAATCAGCCGACGATATGATATTGTGTCGTCGACGGAGCGTTAAACGAGGGTCATAAGCTTGAAAAAAGAAAAAACACTTCCCCCCCAACGGGCAACAAATCACTGGAAAAACCCCCGTGGCGTTGCCGATTCAGCGGAGGAGATCAAACACGAGAAAACATTTTCTCAAGACTTTCCTTGATAAAAGTCAAAGATCCAAAACCAACAACAGTCTACGGTCGTTCGCCCCAAAATTGAAATTGGACGAAGAATATATTTTTTTTTGCTATTATACAATTACCACACGCATAATACAACACACATTTTTCTAATTTTATCAATTAAAAGTGTACTTACAAAGTTGTCGTAATAAAGTGTTCCAACGGCTTTCATATCCATCTGAAAAACATAAGTCGATGTTAAACTCAATTTCATTGTTTACTTAAACGTTATAATAGAACCGGGTTAAGGTCATGTTGTTAAAAGTCATAATCATTATTCAGCGTTAACTTAGTAACAGTAAAATAGGATCATAACGTCACTGTTCTAAGTAATAATTACCTATTGTATAACACGGTAGTAAAATACAAATTATTCAATTATACAAGTAACGTATAAAAATACAATAAAAAGTTTTTGAAAACTATAAAATTATCGTTATCATTACATTTTAAAATTGTATTTTTCGACACTTAAGGCACATTAGACCAAAGCACTAATAAAAGTGTTGTACATAGTTTTTCTTCCTAAATTTTGGGATCTAAAAGAAGAATTTTTTTTTAAAATGATGATCTCATACGATTATGTACAAAATGTAAAATCCTAATACAGATTAAACCAAATCCGTTATTATAATATTATCTATTATTCACAGATATTGGAGTATCATGTAACGCTTGTAATGATTTTGGAAGAGTTTTTTTAGTATAATAGGTAGAGGTCTCAGTCAAGTACGTGAAAGCGAACACGTACGAATTTTCGTGAAAACGGGTATTCGACTAACGAATGTTCGGGTATTCGTGAAAACGGGTATTCGAATAACGAATGTACGAATATAGTGAATTGTTCACATGGTTACGCCATAGCACACACAAGTCTAGAATATAAGTAAAAAAAATCGGTAAAAATTAATATCTTTCTAATTTTACTTTGAAATACTTCATAGTAAATTAACTTATACATTTTCAGGGTTGCAAAATTCAAATGTAATGCCTATGTTAAAATTTACTTCTCATTTAGAGGGGTTAAGGGTGTTTTTTAAAAGAGTACAGAGTTAATAATTATATTGCCAAAAGGGGCACCTTTCATGTACACTTTTTATCAATAATAATTTTTATTATCAAGATATTATTTAAGACTAGTTATCGATAAAACAAAATTGTAAGTACCTAGGGACCAAACTATTGCAGATGTCTTCAAAAATATATGTTATACTTTTAGGATGATTAAAAAAACCTGTTTTTACAGAAAACATATTCAGGGAGAGATTCGACCCCAAAATCCCCCCCCCCCCAAAGATAGCTTCATAAAATGTAAAATAAAATATAATGTATTATAAATGAACCATTAATGTTTAATAATAATAAAGCTTTCATAGTTTTTGTAAATTTGTTTTTATATTCATATTTTCTTGCAATCGTTGAATTTTGCATTTTATAACAATTTATAAATTTGTCTTTATTTTAGGAAAAATGTTTTTTTATTGTGTAAATAATTTTTGTCACCCATTATTACATTCAAATATTTCTGTCAGGGAATGCAAATTTGTAATGAATTTGGTTTATTTAGAGGATTAAGACGATAATTGTAGATTCAAATCTTAATTATATCACTTATTAATATTTTGAGTTATTCTTGTCACAATTATTATATTATAAATTGTTTATTTAGTAGTGAAAATTATATTTGTATTTTTTTTTCTATGACTTTTTGTAGGTAACGTTATTGTTTATTAAGTTCATATTTGATATTAATGAAGTATAATCAAAATTATATAATTTGTTATTTATGATAAACATTATATTATATATGACATAAAAGCTGGAATTTTGTAATTATTTACTCAGGTTTTTTTACTGAAATTAAAATGATATTGAATGATTAAATTATGTTATATAATATAAGTATTATTTACAGTTTAATTTTTATAGACTCACACTTTATTCAAAAAAATTAGTTAAAAAATAAGACCCTGTAAATTATAAAAAAAATATATACATAATACATATGTATTTAATAAGGCTAAATCAAAGACAACCTACATATATAATCAATTCTATATTAAATAAGTGTACTCGGAATTTATAAAACAATAATAAGTTAATGGCGATTAAGTTACAAATATACAATTACACGAATATACTAACCACTAATATACGAAAACACGAATATACGAATGTACAAATACACGAATACACGAAAACACGAATATACGAAAACACGAATGTACATATACACGAATACACGAAAACACGAATACACGAACTATATGAACTTAAACACGAACTATTCAAAAGTTCGAATACACGTGAAATAAGAAGCTCTAATAATAGGTAGTTACAAACAATAAATCAGATATTACATAATATATTTTCATTCAATGGCCTCACGATAGTCGGTCGGATGCTTTGACATCTAATCTACCGTTTAAACTGTTATTGTAAAAAAAAAAAATGCCAAAAAATTATTTTATTAACAAAATATAGGTATTGGTAAATAACTTCTCATGTTTTTTTATATAATATGTATGTATGACTGATGTCAATTGATACAATTATGAAATATTAATAGTTTGATTTGATTATTTTAGCTTCGATTTTTTAATTTTTGTTTGATTTATAATACATTTTGTCAGTGTTAAAATAAATATGCGTATGTAATTTAAATTATTACATTAGGAATGATAATTCTAAATTTATATTACTTTTACCAAGGAAACAGTAATATTAAGGATATCAAATTATAACATTATAAGCTAGAAAAAAGACATTTTTACTTTTTGTCATTGCTCCTAATTGTTATTTGAATATTTTAAATGTTTATATTATTATTAATTTATGTAATTTATGCGCTAAGTACATAAAAACGTATTTTAAGTTTAAATTCAATTTTATTGGGTTTTTTTTCTACTATATTTTTTCCTTCCCAGACATTTTTGCCTACACTCTACACCGCTGCGTATTTCAAAGTGGCAAGCCCAAATTTATATAGATCCGAATCCCTCAAGGGGAATTATTTATCGGTCCTTTACGGGTTTAGCATAATATTTTTGTTTGAAAAGCCATCCACCGAAAAGTAATAACATTTTCATGACATGTGTCACGTGGTGTGTGTGTATTTTTTTTGGAACTTTTGGATTCTTAAAAGCTGGGACCCGACAGAGGATTTTCGGCGGTACCTATACCGTAAGTAGAGGTAACTCTTGCATGTGTTTCTGCCCGACTTGTTTCTCGGTCGGACGTATGCTAATGGGCAAACATCAAAAGGTCGAACGTCGCCATTGGAATATCCTTTGACCGGGCCATAATAACAGTACGACGCTTCGGCGGCCATACGTTCGGACTGGGTCGCTACTTTGTGATTTTTTTATTTCACAAGAGACACTTTTGGCGTTGCTAAAAGCGTTAACGCGGTAGGTATAGCTGCGCCCGTAATGCAATCGGCCAACGGGATGTAACAGTATCGCATTACTTATTCCCTTTGTGTCGTGCCGGATCGATTCGCCAAAAAGGATGACAACGAAATGTTGAAACACACAACCAACATACGTGCATACATAATGACAAGAAGAACCGTGCTCTCGCTCTGTGCAACGCATGTAAAACAATCAGAAGGGGACCATGTCGCGGATTACCGGTCTTAAGACGTTCGGGCGCGGGTTCGGAGGTCCGGGGACTTGGGGGACGATTAATTGCACAATTGTTGCTAGTGTAGGAAAAATAATGGCAAACGTTAAGGTCCCTGTGTCTTAATGGGATTACCGGTGAGAATACAGGCGAGTGTAACAGCTAATAGGGGAAGGCCGCGAGGGGCGATGGGCCCCACAAAGCACGCGTGTAGTCGATTCGGAGGAAAACCAAAATAATATGAGACTTTTAATGCGGTTTGAGTTGGGTTGTTGACCGGCGACCCGTAACACACACACACATTGTTATAAATCTCTCATTTTTGCCCCCTTAACGACTGTCAGCCTCTATTGGAATGTTTACAGATCGCAAACGCTAATCCGGTCGGTGACGGTGGAAATTAATTATTTTTCGTTTTGGATATAGTACTTGAAGTCGGTTAATAAACGCAAAAAAGGAAACTTCAATTGTACTTTTGTTGTGATGATGCACAACAAAAGTACAGCACCGAATTCAAGAACCGTTAGCAAAAGGTTACTTGGTAAAACATTTTATTTTTATCAATTCATAAACACAACAAAGCCCAAATAATATTTCTAAATTCGCAAGTAAAGTAATTCCTGTTTAAAAAATGTATAAACTTACCAAATTGTAAACCGTCAAAACCCGTGTTTTTGTTGGCCAATTTTTAACCGTATTTTAATACCCTAATACGATGAAAGATAATGTTTATAAGCATTCGTTTGATATATTGTTGATGATATACGATATTGTATAATTATAAAAAAAATATTATTATCGATTGCTGGAAAACATTGTATTTTATCAAAGTTAATCGGTTTTATCGATATTTGATACACTTTTGTTTATGAAATATGTTTCGTTGGCGTTATATAAGTCCATTTCCGCTTAAGGGCAACGGTTATCTTTTGTTAACTTTTTCCATTTGTTTTGCTTTTCGAATGAGAGGAAAACGGCACAAAAAAGTACAATCGGTTAAGCGAAATGCAATTTTGGTCGCAGCCTCTTAATTGAAGGAAAATAATAGTGTATTATAGTCGACCGCCCTCGACCGCCTCAGAATACCTGACTAACTTCCGTCGAAATCCCTTTAAAAAAGGCTAAGAGTTTTATTTTTTGGAATAATTATTTAAATTCGCCCGGCAAACGAAACAATCTCACAGCGGTTACACATTGTTGGTTTTTGTTTAAAAAACACAAAAAACAAAATGGCAACCTGGAGTTACAAAATATTATACTAATGTATTCCGTATCATGTATGAATAATTGTGAAAATCATTCTGTGAGTTTGTCGTTTTGAATATTTTCATTATCATCATCGCCATTAGTATATTTGTTTTACATAATAATTATTATTCAAATATAGGTATATATATATATTTTTTTTTAATTACAAACTGACAGCGTATGACGATTGAAAGTCACGGAGAGCAACCGATTGGAGTACCTACGTGCTTAATGATGCCGGTGGTAGACAGACAACCGAAGACAAAAGGTCGGAAAACCGAGTAAATAAAATATATTATCATTTATATTGATTGTTTTTTAATTATCACAAGCAGTTGGCGACGTTTGGGATTGAAAAAAATCGCCCCAAAGTCATTGAATAACAATAAAGATCACCTTCGACTGTTCAAAAACGGGTTCCTCCCTCTTGACGTTTTGCTTCCTCTCGGACGTGATGGTGTACCACTTGAGAAATTAATATAATAATTAAAATTTCCAAAACGGCGTGTGTATTTGCAAACCTCGATCAAACAATGGAAATGGAATTTGTATTTAAAAAAAAATATTATGCATTTTGTAATTTTCCAGAATTACATTTTTCAGTGTCTTTATGCAACGAATATTTTTTAACTATCTACATAAGATAACAGATGATTCATTAATAGATTGTACCTAGATCAAAGCATTGATGACACATATTTTCTCTGTCTAAAGACTAGATAAAGAAAACCCAATTCATCCTGTACAAATTCTATCATAAAAAATAGATAATGTTTTTCCTATAGGTTTTAAAACCGGTAAAAATGATAGAGTTATTTTGTTATGTCTATACCTAAGAACTAAACCAACGTAAGTCTCATCGCGCCAACTTTTCATAATTATGGTAATGACAATTGATCATGGATAGTCGTTTTTTTTTTTCAATCTCTAGATTATCTACCCGGATAATTGATTAAGGCAATTTCGTCTAGCTAACGACGCAACAGAACTCTGCCGGTGGTGGTTTTCATTATCCAAGTTCGAGCTTAACCCTATTGGTTATGCCGCACGCGTTATAGACAACCGTTGCCGACCAATCCTGCGGAGTGCACTGGAATAGAATAATATCGGATCGAAGGAGATAACGTGGAAGCTATTAGAGCGAGCACGGGCATTGGCGAATTTAATGCGCTAATCCAAACCGCAGGTGGCGTGACGAGGGCGGCAATAATACGGCGTGTAAGTTATTCGGCGCGGATCAGTTAATACGGTTAATGGGGAATTTCTATTAACGTCATGACGGCGACACGGCGCAGAGTAATTTTCGTTATTAACCGGGTCCGCATCCGACCACTGTGCCCTTGTCCGCCTGCCCGGTATACCTATACAACCCTATAAACGCATACTTGAGACACGGAATCGACGCTGGAAATCGGATTTCTCGCAAATATTAAAGATTAGAATTAGGTTTATCAAATTACTGTGCGCCTCCCCCCGGGACCGGCAAAGTTTTCGGCGAAATATTATTAGAAATGATCTTTGTCTACCCGGAGTTTTCAAACTTAAATTGGCTCCACGCCCTTACGGGCGCGGCCATTGTCTGCAGCCCGCAATCCTTCAGAAAACCGCGCGGAGACAACGACAATAAGATGCCGGTGCAATCCGCACTCTGGCTCGGATTTCGACCCGAACAATGTGAACAATGCCGGTGTCTTTATTACCGTAAGTCTCGATCGTATTGCAGAAACGCAGCACGTGCCTTTGATATCTGAGAGAGTAATGAGCAAGGAGCGTTGGCCAGGTTCTTTTTTAACTTTTCTCTGGAAGCCCAAAAGCACATTGTGACCAACTGACGGTGACTTTGTAACGCAGCGTTTATATGATTGATGTGCCACAATGGCCAAATACCAATTACTGTAATCTTTGCGTACGACAAGCAGGTACAATAATGGTGTACTTACGTCCAAGCGATCGTTGCGAGGCATTTTCTGCGGTGTGACCATTGTCTGTTGTACGGCCATTGCCAGCGGATTGTTCGGGTCCGAAGTTATGATTGTGGTTGGTCCCATCATCGGTCCAGCGGCGCTAAAGTACGGTGCATATGTATTGGCTACTTGAGCGCTTGCTCCGGGTATTCCGGTCAGATAGGCAGTAGGAGCAGCCTGAAACAGTGTAAATAAAAGAAAATTCAATTATTTTTGATTAGTTGTTGAAATATTATCAAAAAAAAAAAAAAATGCAGATAAAAGCTCTGGGGAAATTCCTAATAGTAGACCATGCTGTCGACGGACGTTTCCGGGTCGCTGCGGAAATTCACCGAATTGGTAAAAATCATTTATTCATTGTAAAAGGACCGAAAGCGGTGTTGTGGTCAGTTTCGTACCTAACGAAGACCGGCCTCGCTAAAATTGCTAAGTCGACAGCATAGTAAATATGCTGCAGGATTCGTTTAGGTATACCCGTGTACCGTAAACTGATTAATTTTATAATAGGTGTTGGGCATTGCTAATTTATAGGACGGTCAGATTATTTGTGTGAAATATGTTAAACGCCGGTATAATTTGTGTACCTTGGGTCGAAAACGGTCAATTCAACATTAACAACTCGGTACAATGTACTATTAAGGTTTGAATTTTTCATTTTTCATAATAGGTCATGCTGTACACCAATTCAATTTGTCCAAAAATTACCAAGGCTCGCTTTGCTTTCAGACACAATGTTTAAGTTTAAAGTTGTAGAACAGGTAATAATTTGTTAGCCTTCACTAGAATTATAAAAAAAAAAAACAATAAATTCGTTGTCAGATCAAATTCTGAGTTAAATCAATAACGGCCGATTTACTGATAGGCAAGAGGCGAAACCATTTAAAAGAATTAGGTTGAAATTAGTATTTGGATAAATCTAATTAATAGTATGGTTTTTTCTACTTATACATTTAAGTTTGGTAGGGTAAATTTTTTAACACAGTCCATAAGTATGCCTGGAATCAGTTTCTGGTCTACGTCCAGTTTAAATAAAGCACTGTTTGAGTTGTATTAGCATTAAGAGTTCTAACTGGAATTAAACTGGGTTGTATAGTGTACTTAGATAAAAATAATATTACACTATTTAGAATACGTATATCCTTCTTCTATATTTTTGAAAGCTAACAACATTTTCCCAAACCGGACTGATATTTTATAAGGCAAGCTTTCAGTTTAATTCGAGAATAATATTAAAAGACACAAACAAGCCTCACTAGAACACTAACCTTTTCCAGTAATAATTTTCATTGTAATTTTTAAGTATAGCAAAATTACAATCTTTGACGCATTTGTTGTTAAATATATTGTATATAGTTGTAAACAAGAAAACTATAACTAGGTACGTTTTCCATTGCATAACTTCTTGGAAAGTTAAACTTGACGAATGGAATCGAATTTGTTTTAACCCATTTTAAAGATACAAAATTTAAATGACATAGAGGTTAACGTTAATGATACCCAATTTTTACTTTAATTCGCGTTTTTATATTATTATTCAATTATATAATTTATACTTAAGCTCTTGGGAACCTCTTAGTTATAAAGCATTTGAAGAACAGTATACCTCGTTGATTGTATTATCTTGGGATTGATTATATTTTGTAAATCCAAATCATAATAATTATAAAATACTTAGTAAAAGTATTTAAAAATACTTTAGAATGTTAAAAATGTTAGGTTAAAATTGTTTTAAGTTTGAAGATCGAACACTTTAACTATAAATTAAATTAAGCACTCTGTTTGTTATATTTGAAGTACTTTTGTAAGTATAAGAGTTTAAAGAAGTTTAACACACCTCTTCTGATATAGCAAAAACCGTTTAGTGTTTATAAAATGTTGTCAACGATTTTGTTAATACATTGTACTAAACAATAGGTGAACAATTTAAAACGGTTAAGTTAATTTGCCAAGGAAACATTTTTATGACTTGAGTTGTTATAGTATTATACTTCTAATTTTTTTTCTAAGGCCATTCAGCCACCCATACCCCAGGAAACCATTTCCTAGGCCGACTGCACGCGATTGGGGCTACTTAAGTCAGTGTCTACTGCGATATTCATATTGAAACGATTGCGCTCGCTTTGGTGTTGGATTTGGATTATTCGTAAGAAACCCACGAGCACTGGCTGACGCATAAAAGACTTAGATAATCTGGAAATGCCAAACAGGAGGGTACGCCGGAGAATCTGATTGAGACAAATCGTCTAGACCGTGGCCGCCGTTCGGAGGGGTCGTTTTTATTGTGTTATATTGTGCTCGTACGGTTTTTCTAATCTCGAGGGGTACACTAAACTTACACAAATATTACGTTTAAAATGATTTGATTGTCCATGATATATATTATAATAGATTGTTGTACGCTACGTCTGAAAGGTTTGACGGATTAAAAACCAATACAATCGAATTATCGAACGCTATATTTGATTGCACTATGTATTTCATACGCACAGTACGGCGGTGCAGCGTCCAGGGTTCAATTTTCGATGGTATTTTCAAATTGGATTACCTGCTATAATATGGCGGCTTTGCAAAGAAAAAAACCAGCACAATAAGGTCTGGGACGGAGCTTACCGGATTAAGAACATGGCATAAAAGTTTGAAAGAAATTGGAAAATTTTGTTTCTTAAAAGCTATAGCATGTTGTAATTTTAAGTTGAAAAATATTATGTAAACTTTTGGGGTGTTTTTCTCGAACTTTTGTAGGATTTCAAAAAAAAAAAACATCGTAATAAAAAAATACAAAAGAAATCATCGGTTTTGTCACAAAATCAATTGTCAGACTAACAGACTACCGTTTAAATAACCGTTGTGATAGCTTCGATAGTAATTGTTTTATATTGCAAATAAATGTACTGATTAATGAAGTAAACAGTGTAGTGTATATTTTTTATCTCAGTCATGGAAGATAATGGCCCGACTAATTCCTATCCAAGTTTTTCGCTGGACGATTTAATTCTCTTTCCAATTTCCTTTCTTGGAGGTTCTGAAATAATTTGAATAAATTCTTGATGTTCTAATTTGCCAACTGTTCAACTTAAGTTTCGATATTAATTATGTGACTTTTAATTTGCATGCCTTTTGTCATTAAAATGATAATTATCTCTTTTAGGCCATGTTTTAACGAATAAACAAATTGCCATTGAACAAATTATGCTAGCACTGTGGTTTCTGTTTCATTACCAACACAAAATAACAATTAATTATTGTCAAAGGAATCATAATATTATCTTAATTAATTTCTCATCAATTATATTTTGTACCCCATGTTTTGTGTCACAAATAAAAAAATTAGACACAGCTGATCTACTTGAACGCAAAAGAATGTTTATTTGATATCATTATTACACGACAATCTTTGCCGAATGATTCGTGTAAGATATCTAGATTATTCAATTTTAGCTTGGATGCTGACCTGAATAGATTCTTAGAATATTATGTTCTTATTAATTTTTAATAAGAAAAAAGTGACTTGTAAAAAAAAAACGTATGTATGCGTTTTAGAACTGTCTTTTTATTCGTTTAATTGTTTGAGTAGTGCAGTCTGGTATATCTTATAATACCATCTTGTAATGAAATAAAAACGGAGAGACGAAACAAGTTCAACATCGCCAATTAAAGCTAAAGTTTTAAGTAAAATAAATGATATGACTTTTTTTTATTTGTGTGTTTTCTATTATAAAACATCTGGAATTGCGTTATACGATTTTTAAGGACTCATTTCTTTTCAAATGGTCTTTTGTTTGGAATTCCATTATAATGTTGAATGACAGTAATTCAAAACGTCTTGTCAATTCAGAAAACGGATTTCATCGAAATTGAGTACTATTAGTAAAACCTTTTTGTTCACATAAGTTTTAACCGCTCAATTGATTCCTTTGATCCAATACTTGCCGTTGTGGTTGATACTTAAAAAACCGTTGTAAACGAACAAAAGTATGATAATATAATGTTTCTCTACTCTTTTTATTGAAAAAACTAATAAAAAAATGTAATAACTTCTTAAAAAATATTTTTAGTATTCTTACAGGTATTTATTAGTTTAATAAATAAATAACAAAATTTATACTTTATGAACTCAACAAATTCTTACCAAAACAAGGTTTTATGTGTTCTTTTTATTTAGTAAAAAATATGACGTGTAATAGTTTGCTTTCCTAAGTTTAATTTAGTTCCTATGAAATTCTGATAGTAGTCCATATTGTAATGTGTACACAAAAATGTTATGAAGTATTTAAGGAGTAAAATTTCTCAGATGTGCAGATTATAATGTTGATATATGAATATAAAGTAAGCCATGGGATTGGAAACAAAACTTATTTTCCCCTAGAGGCCACCATCTATTCTTCTCTATCCAAAACGACTTCTTCAAATTCTCCATACGATTCTTTTCCTATATCCAACATAATTTGTTTTATATACGACTGCTTAGCGGTTCCTCTTCCTCCACGAGCCCACAACGGGTGAGGTATTGTCCGAGGAAATCCTGAGATAGAGAGAGAGAGAGAGGGTATGGACAGTAAACGACGTTTGAGCCGTGGTATGCGATGCGCCGGGGAATTTTTTTTTCGCTTTCGGCTAAGTCGGGATTTGTTTAATATGTACACACACACACACATTGTACATGCGAAATGTGCATATTCAACGGCGTAAACCACCGGGACGTGACGTGTCCCCCGAGTACGGCGACGAAAGACTTGCAGCGCGAATATTATAAGACCCGGGGATTGCGGTCCGACACAAATTGAGATTTATCTCTCGTGTTTGCATGTAATTTACCAGCGCGCTCGTCACCCGATGGCCCTGCAGTCTGCCACGATCTCATTTTGGTCGGGTCGTTTTAAATTCACCGCTAAACTCAACACCGGAATAGCAGGGCGAGGTATGTTTTGCCCCCCCCCCCCCACAAAAAAAAAAAAAATACCCAAGACCCGACACTACCGAAATATCGTACAACCGTACGAATTCAACAAATTTTGATATCGTTAAGGCCCCCCTGGATACCGACCGTTTTTTTTCAGCCAAAACACATCATTTTTTGTCCACCGCACAGGGTGAACCATTGATCCGATAAGCAATCTAAAAACAGATATGAATTTGTCATGAATTTTACTTGAGATCGGTCGGAGCACTTTTTTCAA